ATCCCACCACACTCATCCGTGCAGCATTTATTTTTCACTCGCCTCCTACATTCCCTAGTGCTGTGTTCCCCGATCCCTCCGCGACTTCAGTTCGTTTAGTGCCTCTGATCACCACGTATGTTCTTTTCCTCATTCTCCACTTAACACGACTTTCCGTCCCGGGAGTGGCCGCCTCCCGGCCGAAGCTCAGTTCGGAGCCGTCGCCTCCCGGCCGAACTTCAGTTCGGAGCCGCCGCCTCCCTGCTGGACCTCAGTTCTGAGCCACCGCCTCCCTGCCGAACCTCAGCTCAGAGCCGCTGCCCTCCCACCGGACATCAGCTCGGAGTCGCCGCCTCCCTTCCGGCCTTAGCTCGGAGTCGCCGCCTCCCGGCCGAACCTCAGTTTGGAGCCGCCGCCTCCCGGCTGAACCTCAGTTCGGGATGGTATGGCCGTCGCTCCTCCGTCCCCAGACGTCACGGACGCGTGGCCGCAGTCGCCGAAGACGTCGCTGACCCGACTGCCGGACGGTCTGTCCCTCGGGGTGTCTGATCGCGGAGGGTGAGAGGGGGAGGGCTGCTGCCGCCGCTGTTCGGGGCCGGAGGCGTCAGGGACCACCAGGCGGCTGTGGTGTCCCGGCGTCCCGGGACAACAGGTCTTTCGGGAGCCCGGGGGCGCCAGCTGTCTGCGAAACGCCGGGATGGCCAGGAGGTACCGGTGAGAGTCGGAAAGCATCCGCCAGGGGCGCAGCCAGGATTTCCTTGGGGGAGGGGGGGAGTGAGAGTTGAGCTGAGCTCGGTGAGAACACATCTTATCGATGCCTTAATCGGCGAGAGCCTTTTGACTTTCCGTCGAAAGTAAAAAGGCTCTCGCCGGTGGAGAAACAAAAATACTTCTACGGTGGAGAAAAAAAACTTCTACGGTGGAGAAACAAAAATCCAGGCGTAATGTAGTGAGGCCGGGGGGGGGGGGGGGGAGCGTGGCGGTCTTCTTTGACTACGCTGTTGGCCTCCGCAAACGAATAAGGAGGGCGGCTGGCGAGCGCCTTTGGCGAGCTCTGGCCGACATGAGCGCCTGTGTGGCCGCGGGAGAGCGGGGTCCGCCTGCCTGGACAGCTGAAGAGGTTTCGTCCACGGTAGCGGGCCTCCCGCGGAGCGCTCGGGCTCCGCGGCGTCGGGAGCGAGCCTCTCGGGACCACGTACCGTGGGAGGGGAGGCGCAGCTCACGACCATCCGTCGGGGCTACTCTGGCGGTCGGAACATGGCCCACACTAATGCGGGGTGAAGACCAAAATACTTCTGACGGTCGGCATTAGGGAAAGTGATGGCGAATCGGAGCACGCTGACAGCGCTGATGAACCAATCACCTGACAGAGGAAATGATGGTGAGCCAATCACGTGATGGAGGAACTGACGATCAGCCAATCACTTGAAGGAGTAACTGAAACCCTTGCCGTTCGTTGGTAATATCCAGTTGTTAAGTCGCGCAATTCGAGGCGCTTCTATCTTCGTTCAGCAGAGCTCCATGCTGGTTTCGTTTCGCTCTGCTACTCTCAATTTCGGAGCCGGCGTAGGAAAGCGTAGTTCGCGGCAGCTCTGTGCGCACGTGTACAGCCCGCCACGCGCACATGGGTGCGTGGCCGGTGTACGTGTGTAACGCGTACGCATATGTGTTTGCGTGCGCGAACAGCTTGTTGTCAACAACAGCAAGCTGCTAACTAGTCATTGTCAATGACGGCAAGACAGACAATGTCGATGACAGTTTTTTGGCGCTTGCGGCCCGGCGATGCAAGAATGTTATATGCAATGATGCGAGAACGGCGATGCAAGAACGTCTCGATGTTATAGCCAGCCAGTGGTTGTCTTTGGCGCTCCCGATGAATCGAGGAACACCAACTTGAACGTTTTACGGGGAACTCTTCACTCAACACTGCCCGACTGGCATGGAACACGACGAAGACCCGCCGATCTGTGTACGGAAAGCAGCCAAATGGTCACGGGCCGTCACTGAATCTCACACGGGCGAGTGTAAACGCCGACCAACTCGCCAAGCCTGGCAACCCGTACGCCGAATCTTCGAGAAGCCATTAAACCGCCGTCACGTCCCTCAAACCGGGTGAGCCGAGCTCACCTTCGCCCTCTCTCTCTCTCTCTCTCGCTCTCTTCCTCTCGCCCGATCTTATCCTCGTCTGTCGCTCATCGGGGACAAAAACGGCGCGCGCGGCCGACCGGCACTGCCGGGTCGGCCCGGGCGGAGGCAGCTGCAGCCTTGTTTTGACATGGCCGGCGGGGGCCACGCCGCCAGCCGGGTAATTGGGCTGGCACGTGGGCTGGAGGTGGCTGGCCCCCCCGGGCCCGCCCAGCCCGGTCCGGCCGACGGCAGCGCCCGTCGCCGCCGCCTGGTGCCCGCCTGGGGAAACACCCGAGGCGGTCCCTGCGCGCGGTTGGCCCACTGCGGCGAGGTCCAGGCATGCCCGCTCCAGATGGGCCGACCTTTCTCCAGCCCTGGACGGCCGCTGCGACCTAGTGACCTCAGGTCACGAAAGTGATCTTCGGGGGAGGGGCACGATTTGACCGAGAGGGCCGTGCCCATTGCCGCGAGCACTTATCCACAATAGTGCTGCACTTATAGTGCTGCACAGGTGCTGTAGTGCTGCAGAGTACTTACAGTGCTGCACAGGTGCTGTAGTGCTGTAGTGCTGCAGAGCACTTATAGTGCTGCACAGGTGCTGTAGTGCTGTAGTGCTGCAGAGCACTTATAGTGCTGCACAGGTGTTGTAGTGCTGTAGTGCTGCAGAGCACTTATAGTGCTGCACAGGACGAGTTCACTTGAAGAAATGTTTTAGGCCCATCTCCTGGGGGGTGTCGCATAATTTTTCCCCTCCCCCCCCCCTCCCGCAGATGTCCGCAGGAATCTGACCTTGCAGCACATTAATTTAGAAACTTCCGGCCGTTGAGAGTTGGCACGTCTTTTGAGCATTATTTGGCATTCACATCATACCTGGCAAAGGCCGTTACTCACCGCTGTGCTGTTTTGCGTAGGATCGTGGAACCGGATGTATTTTTTGCGTGTCAATTCTCTTCAACGCGTAAGTGAAGGCTGGTGCGCTTTCGGTGTATCACTCATGTTTCTACAAATACCATTACCGTGAGTCCGCAAAAGGTTGTGACATGTTACATGCATAGCCCCTGCACGAGGTGTCGCGCAGCAAACTGAAGATATTCGTAGATATCTCAATAGCCTAAACGTAAAGTTAACTGGCCTCACGACGACTACCACGCTCCGGGCTGCATGGAGTGGATGCGCTGCCACTCATGCCACGCGCTGGAAGCTCGTGTGAGAGACGTTCTTCGTTTTTTGTTTGTTTGTCTTTTTCTCTTGTTGTTGTTTTCTTATCCGGGAGTTGTTTCGGATGCATGTATTTTTTGATATCGTCAGCCAAGTCTAATTTGGTTCCGCATTGCTGGTTGTTTTTCGTCACGATTTGTCTGAAGAATTGTTTTCTTGGAGTCTGCAAGCTATTTCTCCTTTGTTTATGCATGCATCCGAGTCAATCATAAGCCATCAATCTTCCACTTGCGAGTCATGGGGGAGTCGTTTGCCAAATCTAACGTACTCCTTCTCGCCACCGTCATAACAAGTCTTGTAATTAAATTTCACAATTTGTCTTACGAATTATCATTCTTCGGTCTTCGGCCCATTTCATCTTTGTTTTTGCATGCTCCTGAGTCAATCAAAACCTGCCATTCAAACTCATTTTAGTCATGTTAGAGTCGTTTGCCAAGTGAGAACTGCGCCTTATTCACGGTGCAACACCACCGACTCATATTTTGCCTATTTGTTGATTTTCCCGAGTCAGTGTTGTTAGAGTCAACATGGCTGAGTTCATTTATATTTACGCACCTGCGACCATGACTCTGACTCTCAGACGGAGTCCTGAGTCACACTTGGAGGCATCCCCACAGTGATCTTAGTTTTACTCAATATCAGGAAAAGCCAAATTTTAAGTGGGTTGATTATTTATTACCAATGTGACTCGATTTCAGTTTGGTTCATTTGTCTTCGCAATACTCTGTTTTCCCACGTAATTTTTGCTTTCATCTGACTGGCCACACAATGTACACCAACTCTCCCACTTTTTCCGAAATTTTGAAAGCGTCTATGCCTTTCCGAAGAGAGGTACAGGAAAAGCCTGTACGAATCGAACAATTACAAACCGGCAGGCATCGTTCCGTTTGCAAATGCCTGGATGCGCTGAAGAACACACAATACGTCCCCTCTGCGGCATGCATAGTTCGGAAAAGTCTCTCCCCAACGAGACGCCAGCCTGCGTGGTGGTGACGCGGTCGTGCGTGGGGGGGGGGGCACCCTCCCCCTCACCGTCACGTGGGTGGGTGTCTGGTGACTCTGCGCGCCTGGGGCCGGCCCGCTCGGGCGGCCTCCTCCTCGCCCCGACGGCCGTGTTTCAGCTCGTGCCGACCACCGGCGGCCAAGACAAACATGGCGGCGCCCATGTTGACGCAGCTAGCGCCGCGTTTGTCGCGGCCCATTGAGCGGCGGCCAGCGGCGCGGCGCCGGACTGGGGGGACCAGCGCTGGCGGCCGGCTCCAGCTCGGCCCGGCGCCGCCGCACCGGGGCCCAGTCACTGGTGTGCGGGGAGTCGAGCGTTCGTCGGTATCGGCACCGAGTTTTTGTTTTTCTGTGTCAAGCAGCAGAACAACAGGCGCAAATAACCTAGGCAGTTGACGCGCCCTTAAAAGTCAATAACTAATTAACTGACAGCGGAAGGGCTTCTGAAAGTGTCACAGCGATGTGTAATGCTAGGGCTAATGACAGTGAACAGTTTCCGGCGTTATTGTTATTATGTAGATCGCAATGAACCATGCCCTTTGACATTGTGTGTCACTAGCATTTTGTCATGCTCCGTACATTTGCACAAAAAACTGCTAACTTGTACTTAAGTGTGACTGCCTGCGCGGGCCGCGCTCGAGCATGACCTGACCTATGACCTCTGTGGGCTGCAGGTCGCTCCCCGCGCGTCGCCAAGATGAAAAATGTGAAGCTGCGTCCGAATCAGCGCCTGCGGCTCAAGTGCAACGCCCGAAGTCCGTCCCCTATGCGGATTTCGTGGTTCAAAGATGGCGTACCGATCAGAAGATCACGACGAGTACGCATCAAAAACAAAAAGTGAGTGTTCTGCCGGGAGGGAAGAGCGTTAGACGCCGGGTAACGTGTGTTGCCGCCGAAATGAAGGACACGTAATAAAAGCGCTGTTTCAAATGCATTTCAACTTGCAAGTGGTTCCGTACATTGTGGTTTTCATCGTGCTGTCACCAAGTGTAAGTGAGTTGCAAGCAGTGGCTCTAATAGGCTCGGACCAGCGATAGATCGAGGCTTTTAAGACACTGCTTTAAATGCACTCTATTCGCAATGCGTGTACTTGAAAATGTAGCAAAAGTCGGGAGACTACTCTCCGTCCTTCCACCCGACGCGGCGGTGCCGAAGCCCCTAGCGACAGCATAGTCCAATCCCGTGTTATAATGTTTGCACCATATTCTGTAAATAACGGACCTGTCAAAAACCGGGGCTGAAAGCTGGCACTTCGTCGAGTCTGGGGAAACTTGCGCCGGAGATTATGAACAGGCTGACGTTTTGACGTTTGGGTAATAGATGGCAGGGCTGATTTTGATTAGCCCAGATGAGAAAATGTGGCCAAAGATGCTCGTACCGCTGAGAAGCATTCTGAAGCTGATCGAAAAGTGGAGTGACGGCTTCCGGCGGAGGCGCCTGCCAGCGCGGGGGGAGGGGATGCTCTGGGGGTTGAGGTCAAGGTGCACCTGGGGTGCGGACGCTGCGGTGAGCGACGATGCCAGGAGATAGATGAGGCACGTCCTGGCAGCGGAATCAGCGGCGGGTTTTTTGTGATAGTTCACTGAAGGCTGAATGCTGCATGAGCCGGGACTTATTTGCGTGGGAAGAGGTCACCTCCAATCACGTTATAAGTTTGCACCTGTTCCAGTCCACTGGTGCGACGGCGTGCGTGTGTATGTCAAACGTTGTGGCGGCAAAACTCGACAAATGTTGATGGCATACGATGAACATTTATGACGAATGTTTATGGCGTTTTATGTCGTGAGATGGGTTGTCATAGCGTCACTTAGGTGATTCACTTAGCGCCACTTAGGTGATAGCGTCACATAGGTGATTTTATGCCGGGGTGACGTGTGAAGTGAGACCATGCTGCGGTGACGTATGATGGGATATCGGGCTTTAATGTGTGATGCGATATTGGGATCCGACAAACCTGATGTCGAATCGTGCTCTGGTGTTGCCTATTGTGATAGTCTTCAGTGATGACGTGTGATGTCGTGATGCTGGACTGATGAGCGATCACATAATTTTCTGCGAATTTGTTTCAGGCACTATTGTGTCAGGATGACGTACGATGTTGTGACGTTGTGTTGTGGTGGCACATGATGTGGCGGCATGGTGTCACGATGGGGTCTGATGTGGCGACATTGTGCCATGATGACGTCTGGTCTGGCAACATTGTGCCATGATGACGTCTGGTCTGGCAACATTGTGCCATGATGACGTCTGGTCTGGCAACATTGTGTCATGATGACGTCTGGTCTGGCAACATTGTGCCATGATGACGTCTGGTCTGGCAACATTGTGCCATGATGACGTCTGGTCTGGCAACATTGTGCCATGATGACGTCTGGTCTGGCAACATTGTGCCATGATGACGTCTGGTCTGGCAACATTGTGCCATGATGACGTCTGGTCTGGCAACATTGTGCCATGATGACGTCTGGTCTGGCAACATTGTGCCATGATGACGTCTGGTCTGGCAACATTGTGTCATGATGACGTCTGATCTGGCAACATTGTGTCACGATGACATCTGATCTGGCAACATTGGGTCATGATGACGTCTTATGTGACGACATTATGTCTTGATTCTGATGCCTGATGTGGCGACATTGTGTTATGATGACGTCTGATTCGGCGGCATTGTGTCATGGTGACGTCTAGCCTCACTATGTTGATCGTGACCTGTGGCGACGTCTAGCATCGGGATGTTGCTCACCATAACACAACGTGATGTGTGACGTCATGACGTCATGGCATGCCCTCGCTGACGTGGCGCGCTCTCTCGCTCCCCGCAGGCGGAAGAGGCTGATGCGTTCGACACTCATCATCCGGCGCGCCACAGAGAGTGACGTCGGAGAGTACGTGTGTCGGGCCAAAAACAAGGACGGCTCACGCAGCCAGAAGTCTCGCGTCACCATGCCGAACCGACCCTGTGAGTGCAGCGCCTCTGGCGGCAGGGTCGCGTCACGTCACGTCACGTCACGGTCGCGTCTGGTGCCGCCAGTTCGGGCCGAGCGCCCGCGCCGGGCCGCGCCGCCGTCATGCAGCTGCTAGAGAGAGGGTGCTGATCACTGCAATGCTCAGAATGGTTGAGTGCGGTTTGGGAATGCTGGCTGGCAGTGAAACTGCCTCTGTTGTTTCTAAAACGGAGATTAAAATACCGGTGATTTTCGTCTCATTAGCTTGGGCGTTTGTTTCTTATGCTGAACGTCCATTGCTTTCAATAAAATTATTTGGGTATTTTATGCTTGTATTGCCGCCAAACATCGCCATTCATTTTCTCAGCATGTCATCCAAGCTTTAAATTTCGCCACGCCCATAACCCGACTGAATTGCCATAGTTGTGAACTTTTCCCGTTCCAATGCGACCACCGCAGCTGTAGTCTCCCATGACGATCA